GGGCTAAAAGACAACTACTTAACCCGCGTTATCGGTGGCTGTTGACAAAACCCAAGAAAGCTCGCACGAGCCCGCAAAACTTCGGCTTTTTCCGTTCTAGCGTCCGTTGCCGACCGCGCCGTGGCGCCCCGAGGCTCGCTATTGGCCGTAGTATGGCAAGGGAGTTTTGACACAAACAAGTATTACGACATCCAGGCACATAGGGAACTCCATTCGACGCGCAGCGTGGGTTTTTCTGGACGTTTCTGATTCCCTTGCCTACAAGATAAAACAATGGGCTCAAGGGAGACAGGTGATGGAAGCTGGGCGGATGCAGACTAGCCTTTTTGCGACGAGCTGTGGTCAGTTTGGTCTATGCCCGGCCTTGCCTTAGGGGCTCTCACAGTCGACATGGGCCCGGCAAAGGCAAACTCGGTCGACGTTTACTCCGGGCAGCGGAAGGGAAGAGACGCGGGAAGACTACGAATCGCAAACCAACAGAGCCTCACGAAAAGCAAGGAGTAGAGGATACAAAGCGGGGACAACGGTAAAAAGGATGGGCAGAAAATGCGGGAAAATACAGAAGGTGTGTAAAATATGCCTAGGCTTCTGTAGGTTGGATTAAGGTCGCTGTCAGACGTCCAATCGCAGATGCAGCCGCCGCACCATACTGGACAGAGGGAGGCGAGCAGGTTTTGAGGCCTCGTCGTATTATTCGTACGGAGTACTCCGTGTCCGTCATCTGCATTCCGCTTTACCTTTGTTGCAACTTATGCGGCTGTATGTTGTAGTCTCTTTCTCGCAAAAAGTCGAGGCGAATCAACGTCGCTGAGTGGGAATGGAGTCGCTGCAACTGGTCCCTTAAATACCACTTTCTGCATCGTCTTGTACCAAGTCTTGTGCGCGTTGCTCGTGGGTGCCGCGCACGGCTTTGTGTCCGTTGGTGCCGCCCCCATCGTCATTTGTGATGCGCTCGGCGCAACACCTGTTGGAACACCCTTCCGACAAACCATTTTGAGAAATGCGCGGCTTGCGCCGACTCTCCCCCTGTTGACTTGCGACGGAGTAGGAAAAGAAAAGGAGATAAGAAAAATGCGATGGCTTGCTGGACGCTATGTCCGGCCTTCGTCTTGGTCGCTGTTTGCAGGTACTATTTATTTATGATCACCTTCGCTGCTTCTAACACTTTTCCTTTTTTCGTGCTGGCTAGGCGTTCTTCAATGGCTCTGTCTCTCGCCGTATCTGTCGTATTTCTAACGGAGTACTACTCTGTACTCGCACGTCGTCCTACTTCGTACAGCTTCATTACAATATTCGCAAGTCCCCCGCTACTTCTCCCCAGGGTCTCCGGCAATACTGCCTAAATAGGGACAGCCCTATGAACGCAAAGAAAAACAAGTGATCCCCGTTGGATGGCACCTTCCTTCCATTGCTGTGGGCCGCATTGCAAAACCGAGACAGGAAGGAAGGCCAGCTACAACCCACGAGGGCCAGCAATTTGGCAGCCGCGACTCGAGATCAACTTCGAACAGAAGGTGTGGTAGGACACGAGAAACAAAAGGGAAGAGCGACGTTGGCACAAGACGGCCGACCGGACTTACAGGATAGCAAGAAGAAGAAGGAACGAAAACGGTGCGCTCCTTCCTCAGCCACCATCACAACAGTGTATCTTTGGCCAACTCCTTTCGCTGACGGCCACTCCTTCCCGTTCAGTCATAAGCCAGCCCGCCACTCCTCCTCCCCCCCCCCCCCCCCCCGGTCCCCTTCTTTCCCTCCCAGCCACAGTGGCAGTGGAGACAAGGGACAAGGCCCGTCCTTTCTTTTCAGGGACTTCCTACATATCTCACTTCTTTTTTCTTACTAGTTTAACGGACCAGATCCTTCGCCTCCGTTTCATTGCCAGCACGCAGCCTCTTGACTGGGTCTCCGGGACATGCTTGGCCTTCTGATTCTTTTCCATTCCCTTGTCCTTTGCGCTGCAGCTGCCGATGGTGCATTTGTCGGTACGAATTAAAGACGTGGCTTTGCTGTGCCGTTTCACGTTCTCTCAGACTCCCTCTGGCTCCCTTCCATACATTTCCACGCATCTTGCACGCTGTTCTGCCCTACTACTGTGGGCTTCCCTGCTGCGGTCGGGCTGATCCATCACCCACTTTGCGGCTCTTTGGTTTGTCTGCCAGCCTGGTATATTTTTCTTTGGGTCTTTGGGACCCATTTCTCATCTTGTCTTCTTAACAGTTGGGGGGTTCCTGTTACCCTTTCTTGCCCATTTGTCTCGACCATTTTCATCATATTTGTCGCATTTGTCGCATTCGTCGCATACGTTTCATTGTCGCTGCTCGATTCTCGTCTGCACTTATAACTCGGGTCATTGCAGCTCTCAGCCTAGAAACCGTCTTGGTCCCAGCTAGACACTTTCGCTTTCCTATCCTCGCAACGGCGGGCTTGTGCACCGGCAGTAACCTATGATTTCAGTTAATCACCAACCGAGGGAAACTCCCTTTTAAACGACTGGGTTCCGCAAACAAAATACGATTTGTACCTCACACCGATCCTGTCCCTCGCAACCATGTCGAGGGGGAGAACCTCATGGCCAGCATGGCTTGGCATATGGTTATTTGTCACCGATCTTGCGCCAGCAGCGTCTGCTTCCAATGTGGTCGAAAAGTTATGGGACACTGAGGTTGTGCGCCGGGTCGAAAAGATCCACGTTACGACGGAGTTGCAGTTCCGAATACGGGCCGCCGCGACGTCAACTTGTCCAACAAGCTATTCGCTCTGCCCAGGATCACTAAGTGGCGGGTGCTGTCCTACTGACTATGCCTGCGAAGTCAGCTCATGTGTGCAAACGGCTCTAGCTTTGACAGCCTCTGCATGCGGCCGTGCTGGGTACATGAACTGCGGCATTGAGGCTGCGGGCGGTTGTTGCCCCTCCGGTATGTCAACAATGCGCAAGCTTTCACGGAATGGGCTAGGAATTCTAACCCATGTTTTACCAGGCTACATCTGCGGCGTCAACGACTGCACGGCACCGACCGGCGTATCCAGCACCCAACAATGTCCAACAGGCTACTACCTCTGCCCGGCATCATACAATTTCGGATGTTGCGAGACTACCATGGGCTGTGCATTAAACGCGTGCTATGCGACGACCCCGGCGACATTTGTATTCACGGCTACCTTCACGACGTCCACGAGCGCAAATGGAAAGGCGGCTGTCACCACCGTCACCTCGACTACGGTCGAAATCCCAACAGCCCCGACCGACCTCCCGACCGATACAAACGTCTTCCTACCCAAATTCATTCCTGCTATACAAGCAAAAGCCTCAGAAGTGGCTGTCGCCGACAATGCAACAACCACGGACAATTCTTCGTCCGGCCTCACAGGTGCTCAGATTGGCGGCTTGGTTGGTGGCCTTGTTGGCCTCTTGCTCGTCGTCCTAGTGGCTGCCTTCTTTATTATCCGGAACCTTCGCAAGACCGCCGAGGCCGTGAAGAAGGCGGAACGAGGCAGCGGTTCTAGCTCAGCAGGCAGACGGGGTGGACGGCGCGGTGGTCCCAATCTGAGTGGTGGTGGCATCGACGCTGGTGGTGCCAGCGGCAGCGGCGAGAGTGGCACACGAAACTCCAAGCAAAGGATGGCGGCCCACCTTCCCACGCCGTCCGAGATAAATCAAATGGAGTACGATGATCTTCTGGAGAACCAAGCGGCCGAGACACACTTGGATGGCGGCAGGAACTCGGCGTTTAGTCAGCCACCCGGGATGAGCAACCTTTCCGGGTCGACCCCGCCGATGCCGGACAATACAGGTTTTCCAAAAGCCAGCCTAGACTTTTCGTCGCCGAATGCCGGCGTTGACAGGGAGCCTGTCACGGGCTATTTCGATATCCCAGGCCGCGTGCAGAACCGGCCCGGTCGGTATTCGATGAGCTCAGATCCCCGGACAAGCGTAGACTCTCAGGGCCAGCTGCCGCCGGCATTAGTATGGAGCCAGCAACGTCAGCAATATCACCGCCCACGCATCGTCAGTGATGCAAGCGAACGATCAGCGCGGGATAGTGTCGTCGTCGGCTCACCCCTACAGCCGGCAGAACTCGGCGTGGACGGCGGGTTCATCCCAGAGCTGCCCAGTGTTTTGCATTCACCAGAAGAAGACGCGGGTGCAGCGTCTCACTACCAAAATCAAGGCCAAATACCCCAGAGAGCGCGGCCTTTTAGCAACATCAGCGCCCTCAGCGGTATGGGTAACTTTGGCGCCGGCACACAGCTTCAGCAGCACCAACACCAGCAGCAGCAACAACCACTCATGTCGGGTCACCAGCGCAGTTGGAGCGACGACAGCAACAATGGCACGCCAAGTCACACGCCAGCTCATTCGCCCGGTCAGTCGCCAGGTCATACCCCGAGCCACAGCCGTGACCGCAGCAACATCTACCAGCAGGTGCATCACCAGTCAATACAGCATCCGCAACCATTCCAGCCACAGCCAACCCAAGCACCCAAACTCGATGTCGTCTCAGAGGCAGCCGAGCACATGCACGGCCATTATGGGCCGATCAACGCAGTAGCTGGCCAGACGCGGGCCGCTGCGGATGTCGAAATCGACATCAGTTCACCGGTGGCGCCGTAGTGTGTACATTTCCCGACTCTTTGTGTGGCACTGCTGTTTTGTTTGTTTTACGTTTACAATTTCTGCTATATTATATCAATGTATCGGTCTCAAAAACGAGTCAACATTTAGCGAGGCGTTATTATGGTTGGAGGATCCAACGAAGCTGACAAGCTCACACTTTATTACTACTATTATTCATCAGCGCTTGGCCATGTAACTCGGGTTACACTTTTGGTTTCCAATATTGAAAGGCATTTCATTATAACTGTTCTTTGACATTATCCATTGAAGCTATCCGTACAGTGCCTCTGAATTTGGCCGTCGCCTCTTCAGAATCTCTCCTTGAAGCATGTCGCACTATCATACAATCATTTCTCATCATTCAAGACTGCAAACCCAGCCGTGATTACTCGCGACCAGGGAACGCCAGCCCGCTGCCTGTACCGCGGCCACTGAGAGCCGAGTGGTCCGGATGCGGATTGGTGCCGGGGAAGTTGTTGTGCTCCTCAGCGATCATCGTGGTCGGGTCCACCGTGCCCACTCCAGCTCCGCCGACACCAGCACCGGTCATGCCAGCGTCCATGCCGGGACCACCGGGGATGGTTCCGCCGCGGTTATGGTGCAGGCCTTGCTCGTTGTGATTGTGGTGGTGGTCGTGCATGTGGTTGCCAACCGCCGCACCAGCGACGCCACCAACGGCAGCGCCCAAGCCCATCCCGGCCTTGGAATGATGGTTGCTGTTGTGGTCGCCGCCGTGGCCGTGGGTCGGGCCGATGTGGTGGCGCGTGTCAGTAAAGTTCGCGTCGTTGCGCGTCACGTTGCTGTCGCGGTTGCTGTAGTCCGCGGCACCGCTGGCAACGGCCGTATTGTTGTTCATATCGAGGTGCATCGGGTTGCCGGTGGTGCGGACCGAAGGATCTTGTGTGTTGAAGCGTGACGTCTCGACGGGTTTGGCGTCGGTAGTGGCCGAGTCGGGATGGCTTTTGTGGTTGAAGAGGCCCCTGTATGTGTTAGATGAGTGGATCACTCTGTCCTATACAGGAAGAGGTTTTTCTGTCCTTTTAGCGAACTTACATTGTACAGGATGTTTGGTTTTGTTTGATGTTTTAGTTTTGGAGTTTTTGGGACTTGGCGAGATGTGGTGATGTAGGACTGTATCCAAAGAATTAAACTAAGTGGGAAGATGTTTGGCATCTGACAAAAACAAAATCGAGTCGGTCAGTGTTTGTTTCTTACATCATTTTCTGCAAGGAAAGCAGGAAGCAAAGCACACGCCAAAGTCTTCACTATCCTGTGGATTGATAGATTACTCTGACGTAGCAGACGCGTCTGCACCAATTATACGTGACTTGTTTTGGCACGAGGCTGGCTAATGACGATGCTGTCTTTCAACAACAGAACTTCGGGCAACGTACATGGTAGGTTACCTCGTCTCCTCGTCACCAGGCACATATTGGCACGGAACAAAACCTGGGGAGGGCGGATTTCATGACCTCACTAACTAATGATGGGACAATTCTTCCTTGCATCACCAAACAGGATACAGGTCCACTTCGCTGTATCACAGCGTGGAATGACGTCGTCCAGTAAAATTCATGAGGGGTAGGCGAAAGAGTCCCACGAACGGGAGGGTCTGCTGGTTTACTCAACTTGTTTTTTCTTGCAACCAGGTGTCAAGTTTGTTTTACGTACCCCGCATGATAGACATGACTTTGGATGCAATGGATGTGCTCGTCGAATGAGGATAGTCGCAGCACTTCAACAACTGTAGCTCACAGGCACAAAATCAAGTTGAGCTTGACTACTTTTAGCCATCCTCATGGCGTAGAGCGGCATCGACGATCCCCACGTGGCTTGGGAATGCACTGAGGCACTGTCCATTCCATTTCTGCTTAGCTGCAACTAGGCTTCAATAGGGCAGAGGAAACATAAGCGACAGACATCAAGAGGACTGGCAAGCAGAAACGGCGGCCAGCTGTCGACTCTTATAAATATAGGAGTGGTTAAATTTAGATACGGAGCGAGAACAAGTAATGACACGTTAAGCATGTCGTTTACCGCCATCTCCATATCATACTTTTTTTCATTGTCGGGTTTGTCCGCTTAATCTCTTCTTCTTTCCTTTCTCCTTGACTCCCCTCTAGTCATGAAGCAACAGCAGAACTCCCTCAACGAAAGTCAATAAAGACATGCCGTAGAGACACAAATGCCGCTCAGCTGCATATACCACTCCGACGACACGCAAGCCTGGCGCCGAGAATCCCACCCACATCCCTCCCTTCATTCTCGTACCGGACTCCCGCTTTTGAACCGCCGTAGCACCTGTACTTGGTCCTGCCCATCGTTCCGAATCGCCTCTATTCCGCATTCCTACCTCCTGTTTTTGTGATTTGCATTTTCTTAGTGTTTTTGCGCAGGCAACAGATGAATCATGTTTCCCACTTTTCGATGTTTTTCAGCATCTCCTTCTTACAAGCCTTCAATAACCGCCTCTCCAACTGGATAAAAAAACGTGTGCCGAATGGCTGTGAAAGGGCATCCTGGGCAATGCCAGTAGCGTTGGTTGAAATGCCTGCGAAGTACAGAAGCTGCAGTTCGCAAATGCCAATATGTCCAGGCGGTTGGACAGAATAATGTGACTTTCAATAGTAACTCAGCAACGCCGGCCAAAATATTGTTGTGTCGATAACATTGCAGAAGAGGTGTCTTGTCTGTATTGCATGCCATCTTAGCAGGCGCATTGGGAAGTCCTTGAGAGTCCGCCCTCCAAGGCTTCAGACGACGGCGAGGTCAGGGTAACCAGCGGCCCAAATTTCGACGACGCGGATAATTCGCTTGTGGTCGTTCACTGGCCGTCTGTCCAATGCTACAGGGAGCGACACATGTTGTCCTGCCCCGCTGACTTGCTGCGTACTGGAGACTAAAAATCCATAAAGTTCTCAAGGAGATACGCGGACATCTAGTTGAAGCTAGTATGCGGTACCAACATCAAAAAAGCCAAAAAACTCGCCAGTTGGAGGCGAGATAAGTTTAAAAGAAAATAAAGGCCTCATTGGGTTGGATGCAACGCGCCTCATTTGGCTTCTTCCGGGACGTCGCCGGTCGGGCGATTCTGATGCGCAGCCGGTGGGCCATTGGTATGATTGACTTGGGGTTGAGACACGCCATTGTGATGGTAAGAATTATTGTGGATGTTGTGCCCTTGGTAATTCTTGCTCGAAAAGTGGCCGCTGCCGTTGCGATGGGGCGGCCCGTGCTGGTGTAAACCTTGAGGGCTGCTCCCATAATGCTGTGCGCCGGGGTTATTATATCCTCCTCGCATGGCTGGTTTTCCTGGCATGTTAGCAAGTGCATCTTTGCGTCCTTGTGTCGTCCCAGAAAGAGAGATAAGGAAGACAACAATCAAATAATCAAAAAAGCTTACCACCTTGTCCCTGGTGTTGGGGGTTAAAGGCAGGTTGCTGGTACTGTGTGTTGGGGCTCTGTCCGTACATTGGTTGTCCCTGTTGGGATCCTTGTTGGCCCATCATCGGCGCGACAGGCCGCCCGGGGCTGGGATATCCGTTGGATGCGCCCATTTGATGCGGTGGAGGTGCACCTCCAGCACCGCCAGCGCCAGGAGGTCCCATGAACTGGGCGCCACCAGGATACATGCCCATCTGCTGTTGACCACCCATCATAGCTCCCGGAACAGCAACGAAGTGCTGTGGAGGCATCATCGGCATCATCGGTCCAGACTGCGGTGGCATGAACCCTTGGGGATTGTTCGAGTAGTTCCGGAACTGGTTCATCTGGGGTCCGTTCTGCATGAATGGCATAGCCGGCTGGTTATAGCCCATCTGTGGGGTTGCATGCTGCGGGTACATCGGGGCCTGTGACATGCGCGGTGAAGCATACGACTGCGCCGAGTTCGATGCCATCATCCGATGGTCATCGCTCCCGTTAAACGACACTTGGGGGATGTGCCCGTGAGGTCCGCCACCACCGTGGATTGGCATCGGTGGCATGTGTTGGTTGGGGCGCGGGCCCATGTGGCCGCCGTGATGCTGCATGTGTGCCGGAAGCTGATGCTGGTGCGGCATTTGAGACATGTTATGTGGCACCACGTGTCCTTGGACGGGTGTCGCTCTGGAAGCCGCACTAAAGGCAACGCGCTCAAGGTACTCGGTGTACTTGAGATGCATTGTCGAGTCCTGCTTCTCGTCATCTTGAATCTGGCGCCAAAGAAGGGGAGTATCAAATGACGGGCGTAGGCCATTATTCTCGTCCCAGTTGCGTCCCGGCGGCGGCTTGATGGACCGAACCATGGTCAAGATGTCGCATTTGTCCGCACTCACGTTCTGAGTCTTACGGCGAATAAGGACGGTGCCAAGGACCCGAGGAGACGGGATGGTCGGCACTGATGTCGCCGTCGAAGACATCGGGATTGAATGGTCGGTTGTGATGGGGTTGATCGTTGAACGCGGGCTGGATCCCGCACTAGGGCCAGTCGGGTTGAACGACGCAGCAAAAGGACTCGGGCGGAACTCGTGCGTAGTAGGGTTCAGCTTCTGGGGTGTGTGTGCTCCGGACGGCTGCGCACTTAGGCGGCGGGAATAGTTGCTGTCAGCTGGGTTTGCAGGCCCAGTGGGCGGCATGCGGGCATCCCCAGAAGGGCCAAAATGAGAGGGGCCATGGTTGTTCAAGTTCTTGTTGTACCGGTTCTGGTTTTGTTCAGAATTTCTAATCCGCTCGGCCAAGTGGCCAGTGTTGTGACCTTGCGACATATGTTGCGGACCAGAGCGATCGCCGCGATAGGGCTGCGACTGCGGGCGGAAGTTCTGCTGCATGTATCCACCCCGCGAGTTGGGGTGGCGGTTTGACATGCTGTGCGAAGAGTGGGGAGGACCCTGTGGGCGACCACTGTTGTTGACAGGCGGCCGAGCATTGTCTGCAGCAGAAGCACCGCCAGCAGCCGCACCTGGGCCGGACGGAGGCACGAGGTTGGGCGTGGTTGAGGTATTGGTGGTAGCGTTCGACGCATTGTTAGAGGCTGTCGACGCCGCGGCAGAGGCTGCAGAGCTCGAGGGAGCGGCTGGGGGCTTGGAGGAACCGGCAGACGAAGCTGAACCGCGCTGGCCATCAGCAGATTCTGTCTTGGACTTTGCAAGCTGTTCGGCGTTCTGTAGCGCCTTCTCCTGGATCTGGCGTTGCTTCTCGGGATCCTTGGCAATAATGGAGATGAGATCGTTAGGCACGGGGGTCGACAACTTGAAGCTATCTGCGAATCTTCTCAGTTCCTGGAGCTTAACCTGAGCATCGGCCTTGATCTTGTTGTGCCGAGCCTTCTCTGCGTGCTGACGCTGCTGCGAAGCAAAGTCCTTGAAATCTTTCAGAAGAGCACTCTCGACATTGTCAGCAACGTTGGGAGGCGCGGGGCTGTTCACAGCCGAAGTCGAGGGCGCGAACGCGGAAGCCTTGGCACTAGGAGAAAGCGATGTACGATTCGGTGTCGCAGTAGCACGCAGCGAAGAAGTTCCAGATGAAATTGCTGGTGTCGACGGCTTGCTGTTGGGCTTTGAGGTCGTTGCAGACTTGGTTTGCTCGGATGTGTTGTCTGCGACCTTGGGAGCAGTCTGCTGCTTTCCATCGGCGACCTTATCAGCAGCCTTCGGCTCGGGCGTCTTTGACTGTTGCGGCAACGCTACGGCAGGGGGTGCCGGACGCGGTGCATTAGCTGTGGATGCCTTGTTCTCTTCGCCCTTGGGGGCAGCTGGCGGCGGCGGCGGTTGCTGCTGCTGCTGCTGCTGCTTCCGCGAAGAGCCACCCTTGATCTGCGATGAGATGATGGCCGGATCGACTGGCGCGCCAACCACAGTCGAGTGGGCTGTCGGGGCACGACGTGCGGGAGGCGTGTACTTGGCCTCTCCCCGTGCAGACGCCGACAGAGGGGGGAAGTCTTGCTGTCTGCGTACACCACTGTATTTGTCTTCCTCATCACCGTCACCTTGGCCTTCACCGGCAACAAAATCCATGACACGCTCTTCAGCCACGTGAGCAGTAGTTGCCGACGATCCCTCGATTTCGCGGGCGGCACGCTCTGCGACGGCTAGGCGCTCCGAGTACTGGGGATGGCTGCGATCAATGGCCGTTGTGTAGTAGTTCTCGTTGTAGTCCGTCTTCAGGCCAAAGAGGCGCTCGTTCGCGGCAAACTGGTCCCACTTTCCACCTGCGTTTGAGGAACTCTCGAGGGCACCATCTAGGGCTGCAGGGCTATCGGCAACCCACCGAGTCAGGTTGCGTTCGGCTCCTGCGCGGTTGTTTGAGATGGCTGTGTCCGTCCGAAATCCCGATCGCGCACCTAATAAAAGCAGCGAACCTGGTTAGTCGTCGAAGGGGAAAATTCACTACCGCCCTCTAGAAGAACGGAGTCAAACGGTACTCACCATTGGGTGTTCTAACGGGTCCACCACTGGGGCCACCTCCTGGGCCATCTTTGCGCTGGGGAGGCATGCTGGACGAGTCGCGTTTGTAGCTGCTGTTGGTATCTCCGGACGTTTCGGTGGAACCAAAGCACAGTGGTCCTGGCGATTGATCAAACCTAGACAAGCATGCCGTCAGCCTTTGCTGGGGACTCGTGCCCAATGGCCCATTGCGATTAGGCTGGCCTGAAAATGAAAATAAAACAAAACAATTACCTCAAATAAGAGGCTCTTGGTCGCAGAGAGCTTTTCTCAACGGAAGATGAGTCAAGTCAAAACCAGAGTCGTGACGAAAAGAGAAGCGTCGTTTCTCGAGAAACTGTAAAGTCCAACCGGTCGCGAGAGCAACGCGGTGCTCTAAACAGTCAAGGAGGAATGTCGAGACGGTATCGATCCCCGTGATCAGGAGATCCGTCGCCGCAAGAAAGGAGCTCAAAAGAAAAGAGCACCGGTGAAATACAAAAAGTAAATCTCCGGGGAGAACGATATCGAGAGAAAGACGTGAAGGAAAGGGTGTCAATTGCAACAATGAACAGGTTCCGCCAAGTCAGAGCAGATGCAATTAGCTTAATATTCGGGCGAAGAGAGCGTCTCGATGGATATGTCCATGTTCGAAACCCAGAGCACGTGGTGGTAAAACCGACGAGAAGCTTCCCTGCAAGCAACAATGCGCGAAAGAGAAGAATCTAGCGCCAAGGACGACAAGGGTAAATGAACGGAAAGTCGCACGGTACGCTTTTGGAGGGTCCAGAGCTGTCCGGTGCAGACGAATGCGAAAGATGTCGACGGGGGGCGGACAAGGTGTGGCTGGGGCGTGATTTGACCAGATGCAGGAAGTCGAGGCCGAAAAGCGTCGTCGGGATAGACGCTAGGGGAGGGAGGAGCGTATGCGCCGAGACAGGAGAGCGATGTCTGCGAGGGGGTCGAGGAATAGATGGAGTCGACGGCGAGAAAGCGGATTGGCGACGATGGGCGAAGACGAGGAGGGAGGAAGAGGTCGAGGCCAGGGAAAAGACAAGAAAGAACGGGAGGCTCGGGCTTTAATGTCGTGCTGCGAACTGCAGTTGCTGCCACTGAGGCGAATCAGTCGAGCTGGAGAACAAGGAGAAGACGGCGAAGAGGCAGCCGAAGGAGGAAAGAAGTAAGAACCAAACAAACCGCGACGATGAAAAGGGAAAAGAGGACGAGGAGGGAAAAGGGGAGGTGGTGAGAAATGAGGTCCTGGCAAGGTGGAGTGTGTGTTTTCGTTATATTTTATTTTTATTTTGTCGACACAGAGGGAAGGAAAAAAGGTGGAGGGAAAACTAGCCGTTTGGAGTGGACAGACAGCGCACACAGGGGGAGGTACAGAACGACGAGGGCGATGGCGCCTGACGACTCACAAGGGACAAAGTAAAAGAAAGGAAGGGGCAGTCGACTGGGGGTGAGTTAAGGGTGGGTCCACAGCGAAGGAAAGAGCAAAATATGGGAAGGGGAGAGCAGTGCAAAAAACTTTTTGGGAGCCGACCGGGAAAGAGAGTCTCGTGTCTCACCAAGGAAAAAAGTGGGGCTTTCGAACAACAAGCAGAGCAACGGGACAGAGGAGGAGGAGCATCACCATTCAACATACAAAATGCGCTACAGTCGCAACAGATAGAAGGTGCAACCAGCATTGAAAACGAGGAAAGTGCACTACAAAAGCCTACAACGGAAAGACCTGTACCTGCCCGCAGGGAAGCTATTCGCTATGCAACGAACACAAACGCAGGTGCGACCAACCGTTGTCCTGGGATTTGGCGCGGGCCACGGATCGTTGTTTCTCCATCTGGCTCTTTCCCGATTCCAATTTCACCGGGCAGCATTTTGTAGGTCCTTGTTTCTTTTGCTACTTCCCCTGCATCTACACTCGCTTCTCGGTCGTTCCTGCTGTTAGTAGTACCGCATCAACAGGGACGAGCAAGACAAAAGGCAGTCACTTGCAAAACGCGGGGCTCGTCGAACGGTTAGTCGGTCGGTTGAGCTCTGCTTGTGTGAAGAGCTATCCAAGACCACTGAAACCCGGTACAAGATGGCCAAAAAAGGGTTGGAGCCCAACGGGCTGTGCACACAAAGAAGTGAAGGAAATGTACAGCGTACGAGGCAATGCAGGTACAAGTCAATCAACAGTGTACGGAGATGTATTTTCTATACGGCGTACGGAGTACCGTCGTCCCTCCTACCTCCCTTTGTTCGTCGTCCCGCGTGGTATTTTGGGTTGGAAGGTGCGATCAAAACGCGGAGAAGCAGAATTCGGGGTCCTCCGGCAGGGCAAGAGCTGTGTGGTTATCGTTTATCTGGGGCACGGCAGCAATTAGCAGGAAATCCAGATTCGAGAGGAGCGACCCCGAGTTGCCCACCAATCTGGAAGGAGCTACACAGTAACCAGACACGACGACAAAAGCCTGGATGAGGGAAGAAGTGCCTATCCAAGATCTGGCCCAAGCCGTAGGAGTGCATTGTTTTTGCACTTTGCTCGCCTCGTACCAAATAGCTACGGCATCGCTTTTCGATAGGCGCACAATGTTTGTGCACATTCACTCCATGTTCGCTCATGGCCGAAAAGCTGTGGCTGTTCACGCGTATGGCCTTCCGCCTTCCGTGGCCCGCCTCCCGTCTCCCGTCCTCCGCCTACCAGTGGCATATTCATTTCGCCACGGACAGCCTCACCGGCACCTATTCGGAACATGGACACAGGACTTTGCTGCGCACCGGTCTCTCATTGTGCTGCTGCCTGTTGAGTCTCAGGTATATGTTGTGTCTGGCGATCCCACTCTGTCGTTGAGGAAATTGCAGGGCTGCGATGTACCCGTCGCAAATCCATGTCAAAATCACCCAAACGGTCGAGAAAAGGCTAGCACACACAGACGCCAAAGCCCCCCTGGCATTCGCCCTGAAAGTGCTTGCAGCTAGTGGGTGTGTTGGTGAGCCTCAACGCGACAGGGCGCGCTCGCTGGGCACGAAGGCTGCCTGGGTCCACTTGTTTGAGTTTGTTCCGAGAAGTGTTCTCTGGTATTCATATCCCCAGCTTTGGTGAAACAACCGGTCGATCTGTGCGGTTGGGATTGACGGGCGGTGCTACCAAAACGCGTATTTCTCGCAGATTACGAAATACTCCCTCTGTCGAACGCCGTTCTCGATCAAACACGCCCGAGGAGACCTTCCAAACGAACTGACGCGTCACTTCATCCCAAGTCACGAAACAGGCCGTTTGGTGCAGATGCTCGCTGACAGCCACAATAGGCAAAGGGCGAAGACGGGCAAGGCGGATCAGGCGCCGGCCGCGGGAACTAGCACAGAACGGGGATCCATCCATACTGCCGCGTGTGCCAGGATTCAGGGACCAGCCACATTGAGCTGAGCTGTTGAGAGCTGGAATCGCAGAGCAGCGACTTGTCGCGTGTGAGAAGGATCGGGCCATATCATTCGTTTTGTGCCAAATACGTAACGTTGGCAAAGTACGAAATAGTCGAAAGAGGACTATGAATGAATGGAAAAGGCAACCGAGAGAATAACATGACATGCCTGAGCCGTTTTATTTTGCTGCTGGACTCTCTCGTAGCAACGGTTGTATAATCCATTTACTTTTCCAAAAAGGTTTCGTTTCTCCGATCCATTTTGTTTTTCTTGTTTTGTTTTCTTTTGTTTTTCTTAAAAAACTTAATTATAAATACCATATAATACATCTTTTTTTTCTTGCTAAATCTATTATGGTTTATTTTTTACGAGTAACTACACACTTAAGGCCTTCACCACATCAGCAAAACTCGCTGTATAACAGATCCTACGTAGTTCTAACCTTTCACTCAACGATCACGACACTTTAAAATCCCAATTCAAAGCTTCATCTTTTACGTACGGCCATAGATATTGGAAAATACGGGATCCCGTCCGCTCTCCCCTAGTCAAACCAATAATCGGCGGATTAGTAGTTGGGTCGGTGACGACCAGCGAATACCCGCTGCTGTACGTTTTTTGTGCTTTTCTTTTTGTTTTTATTTTTTTATTTAATTTTTCTTTTCCTTGCTCTTTTTATCCCATGGTATTTTTCGCGGGTGAAAGATGCTTTGCCTATGCGAGGCTGACCAACGGATGATAGTTTCAGGACGTAAAGTCGACAAAGAAACTGTTCGTTTCATGTTGCTCGGGAGTTGACGACATCGCCACATGGTGATGGCGTTTGGAGATGACAAACACACCCTCACATACTCACACTTCACACAGCCAAAATACGAACCGGCGAGGCGCCGTCTCCCCGGAGGTGCAACACTTAGATTAGCTGTCGCCCGTGCCCCTCCTGCCGCTGTGTCTTGAAGTCGCAGTGGGCTGTCAGGTTGAGATCGCCGCGGCTGTCCAAACAGAGGCACAGCAGCCTTCACACAGACACATTTTCTTTGCAGTGCCGCAGGAGTCTCGTTTATCCTAGACGTGTTCGTCGGGATGCAGATGCAAGGTCGCTGACCAGGCCTCCCGTTCCCTCATATATCCCGCCAACTTTCTCGGACGGATGTGTGATATCCGTCTGCAAGCACTTAAGGACAAGCCGACACGGGCACGGGGCGTGTGTCTGGGCCTAGAACGATGGACTTGGCTCAGAAGCTTGTAATCTGTTTGCTGTCGTGGGCGGCCTTGCGTCCTGAGATCGGATCTCACGCAGGGATCGAAAGAGCCTCGACAAAGTGCTGCAACAAAGAGCTTCGACAACGCTTCTTGCTTTGCTTCTTTTGTCTTGGCTATTGCGTCCCGAACATTGTTCCTTACCAGGCCGGTGCTAAGATGACGCGTGTCCATTCGATCCCATGTATCGTTCTTGATTGTCGACAGTGTCGTGTTGATTCTGCTCATCTGGATGCCGTGTCTTGTTGGGCCGAATGCACCTTGTCTCCGAAAATAGATGAAAGAAGGCGATGAAATAGAGAAGAGCAAAAAGGTACAGACATAATTAAGCAATAAGACCAGGTCTAGTCAGGTACACGTAGCCCGTAGCCAAAATGAGTCGGCTCACCAGTCACAGTC